TGTGTAAAAAAATTTTTTGATCTTGTTGAATTTTATTTGATTTTACTGATTATTCTTATCAAGTATGATTAAAATGATTGATTGTTAATGAATAAAATGGAGTTATAAAATATTGTGATAGCGCATTACGGGGGCTTGTTCTTATTCCTGTACGAACGTTTCAAAGGTATTATAAATTTGCCACTGCGTTTGAAGCGCTAAGAAATAGAAGTTTAAGATATAGAAACAAGTCTATAATTCTGATCATGGTTATTACCGCAAAAACACTATTTAATTTGGGTTCAATCAAAGCTGTGATTCGATTAGCTGCCGTACAACTATATTTTGTTATATTTCGGGAACAATAAAGTGGACACAATTAAAATTTTGCTTAAATATTTAGTATTTAATTGTAATTGTACAAGTTCTTGCAATAGTTGCAATGCAATTCTATAAATACAATGATCATATCTCGGAAACTATAAAGCTTGTAATATTCAAATTTCGTATAATTACCGCACACAGCTCTAAAAATAATTTAGTCATATCTTGCAAAATTATAAAGCACTTTCCTTAACTCTGCATATTCTATTCAATTTATTAGTGGCTGCATAAAATCTTATAGAGACCGGGTAATGTTATCTCTATTAAATTTAAATTAATAATAATTAAGGAAACTAAATATATCTATAAATTTTAATAGTTTTACAGGCACAAGTAATTACAGGACTTATAAGTATGTGTGTATATTTATGCATGTATCCTTAATTATAAATTATTCGTCCTTTATAATACATGATAAAAGAAGTATATTTATATTTAAAAACGAGAAAAAAAATAGAGTTGACCTTGTCAACTCTGTGATACCCGTACGAATTTGTTATCCTATGTGCAAATAACTAATGTGCCATAACTAACTATGGGGCAGACTATGACTTTAAGTTGCCATATTACCATATTAATTTATGCAAAATTTCAGTACTATGTGTTATTCAAAATACTGGTTGTGCCAAACTACTATTGATGTTGTATGGCAGCTACCAGAGAGAGCCAAGAAATTTTAGCGAATTTTATCAAGCACATCGGCCCTACTAATATACTCACTTGTGTGAAATCTCAATATCACAGCTTTTATAGTTTCTAAGATATAGTCAAATAACTTTTGAAGTTGTATGGCAGGTACCAGAAGGAGCCAAGTAATTTCAACGACTTTTCTGAGACACATTGGCCCTACTAATATATTCGTTTGTGTGAAATTTCAATACCATAGCTTTAATAGTTTCTGAAATATAGTCAAATAACTTTTGAAGTTGTATGGCAGGTACCAGAAGGAGCCAAGTGATTTCAACGACTTTTACCAGACATATCGGCCCTACTAACATATTCACTTGTGTGAAATCTCAATATCGCAGCTTTTATAGTTTCTGAGATATAGCCAAATAACTTTTGAAGTTGTATGGCAGGTACCAGAAGGAGCCAAGTAATTTCAACGACTTTTATGGGACATATTGGCCCTACTAATATATTTGTTTGTGTGAAATTTCAATATCATAACTTTTATAGTTTCTGAGATATAGCCAAATAAATTTTAAAGTTGTATGGCAGCTACCCGAACCGGTACCCCCGATCACCGGGGGGTAGCTGCCATACCGGTCCAATTTAAATAGGGTTCTGGCACTTACTACAATAAATCATTTGTGAAAATTTGGTGAACTTAGCTCAATTAGTTTTTGAGTTATCGTTCGGACGGACGGACGGACGGACGGACGGACGGACGGACAGACAAAGCTAAATCAACTCAGAATTTGACGCTGATCAAAAACATACACTTGAGTCTATATCTAACACCGTTATTTCTTAGCGTTACAAACGGTAAGGCAAATTTAGTATACCCTTCGAACATACGTTCGTACGGGTATAATTAATAGTAGATCTGAAATGGAAAAGCTTAATTCCAAAATAAAAAATTTCTATGTAATCATTTATCGTCATTCATTTACAAAAAACGTCTATAATATAAGGGTATAGAAAAACCCTCATCAAAATATAGGTTAGGCAGTAGAGGTTCCCGAATACAAAAAAATAAAAACAACAGTGTAATATAAACGAATTTTGTTTTATCATTTTTATTTCATTATATTTGAAAAGATTTCCGTTTTTTAAGTGATTCAGATGAAAAGCTCATTTCATTTTAGTTATTTCCTTCTTCTTCTTATTACGAGTATTATTGTTACTGTTTTTTTTTTATTATATGTTTGTAAATAAACGATGTTTTAACAATGATATCATCATTTTTCAAGATTATTATTATAATACCTACATATTAACACTACATCTATTTATTTTATAATATTAAATACACATGTGTTAACTTGATGATTATATATATGTATATATATATAATATTATATATTTCAATAAATAGATATATATGTATATATACATAAGTTCATAGTATAATAATAAATCTTGTGTTGAATGACAATAGATATCTCTCTTCTGTTTCGCGTATGTACATATACTATTAAAAATACACATTTTTTTATATAGTCACGATAGGAAGTTGAGAATAAGAACGCACTATTTCAAAAATTTATAATTTTAAGTAAATTTAAAATTTCGATTTTTCTCTTTAACATGAGAGTATGTCGTATTTTTGAATAAGAGCAAATATTTCTGTTTTGCTCAGTTTAGCAGCAGTTAACTCAGCTCAGTTTCTGTTTAGATTTACTAATACTATAAGATATTGATTAATTGCTGCATTATAGATAAGCACTAATCCGTATTATTAGAAAATATTCAAACTTTGACATCTTTCAAAAAAATTTTTCTCTATTTGACGCGTTCCGAATTTTTTAAAATATGTTTTCGAAACGTAAAGAAAAACAAATCATGATTTCAAAGAATTCTTGATGCTTTTTGTAAAATCTTAGCAATAAGTATGTTATTAGTATGCGTTATTTAATATTAATTTTAATTGAAATAACTCTAATTTTTTTAATATTTTCGTTGAATTTCGGAACATTATTTCGGATTATTTTTAATATAGAAAATAAAATTAAGATTCAAAAAATTTCCTCAAATAAATTACAATATTGTATAAAAAAAGGGCGAAATTGAGAACGCGCCTGCAAAAAAAAATTCTTTAAAAATTTGATAATTTTTGAGATATTTCAAATCTGATTAGATCAAAATAAAGAGAATAAATTTGCGCTTTTAATGGAACACATAACTGAAAAATTAATTTTTTTTGACTTGTTGCACTATTGCACTAGATATACGGCATTTAGTGTATTATGTTTATTAGGTTCTATAATGTTGTAAAAAAATATATTGTATATCTTGTCTCTTTGTTATAAACAAACTTGCAGATACAAAATTTTATAAAGAATAAAAACATAAAAATGAAAACAGTAGAGGAAAGAAAAAAAGAAAAAAAAAAAACAACAATTTCTTTGCCTTGACGTTTTTTTTTTTTTAATTTTTGTTTTGATTATTTTATTGTTATGTCTTTTTCTTTGTTAAAAAAAAAAACAAAAACAAAAATTTTAGTAAAAGACACGTGCTACAACTTTAATTTATTTTAATAATAAACAATTTAAATAAATTTTTATGTATGCACATGTGTATATCCACATGTGTATACAGTATAAAATGTATTAAAAAAAATATTAACAATGAATATTGGGTTAAATACATAACATGTGTATTTTGTATATAAAATGTGGGTACACAGTATATGCCCCCTTATACAATGGTTTGACCATGATTTTAACAATACATACATACATACATCAATGTATTTTAATATTACTATGATAAATTGTTTAAAAAATTTAACTTTAGAGAAGTTAAGAATTTAAGAAATGGAAGCAAAAATCTGAATATGTCTGTACACATACGCACATATACATTTTATGCAGACAAAAACAGACAATAAGATTTTAATTTAATATTAATATAAAAATTATATATTTATGTACATATGTATGTATATATGTATACTATCTCTGGAAGATTATGAAATTGAGAACAAAAGGAGGAAGGAAAAGAAAAACAATAAAAAAAAATTTCTTTTGTCTTTAAATTTGTTAAATTTAATTTAAATTTTCTTTATTAATTTGTATTTTCATTTATAAAATTTCAAAATGTAAAATTTAGGATCCAAAAATTTTATTTTCAATTTATTATGCAAAATCATACATACCCACATTTCTATTTTCCTTATGTTAAAATTCCACTCCTCCATGTGTTTCTGATCTTCAGAAGAAGAGAAAATTCTCTGAACTTAACACGTGCTGGACTGCCTTACGAAGGGATTTTATGAAAATTTTTTTTTTTTGCCAGACATACTATAAATGTGGTTTTGGTGTATAAATATATGTAGGTATTTTGTTAACAAAAGAACAAAATACAGTGGTAATTCTGCAACATAATTTAATACATACAATGTGTACAAATTGTGACCTGTTGTAACGAAATTTGCGGTTAAAATTTGATTTTTCGTAGCAGTTTATAAGTATTAATAAAAGCCTTCGTAGAAGGATGAAAAATTATTCAGAAGATTGAATTGTAACAGTCTTGCTTGTATAGGTGTTATATAAAAATCAATGCCTCTTAAAATATTAATATTATATTAAGGTCAATGAAATAGAAAATTCAAAAAAGATTTTTCACCTTTTTATTAAAGAACCGTGTCAATTTAATTTATTTAAGGTATTTTTATCTAAAATTCTCCATAAATTGAGTTTTAAACCAATGGACCCTATTTAATATTTTTGTTTCAAAATTTACAATGATTTGTTAGTGTAGTTTTAATGCATTTAGTTTTATCTTTCTCTGACAATTATTATAAGTGAGCATTTAGAAGCTGATTTGTTTTAAATATTCAATTTGAAACAAATGATTTTAACAACTTATCAAAATATGAAATTTTTCGTACAAAATCTGACATATTTCTGTTTTTAAAATAAATTAAAAAAAAATCTAATATAATTTTTAAATTTTATTTTTGCTTTTAGAACCAAATCAGATTATAAAAATTATAATAGAGATGGCTCCAACAATATGCAGTGATGAAGATTTACATATATGTAAAAGAGTTCGAGATACAAGAAAACATGGTGAAAATTATATGACAAGAGAAAATAATTCGACTGCTTCAACTTCTAACTCTAATGCTAATGGTAAGTTTTTATTATTTTGAATATTCTTATACTTCTTAGCTCTTCCAAATCAATTTCATTCAAAATAATCAATATCAAACCAAATCAATTTTATTCAACAAACCTAGAAGTCTATAGAAGAATAAATTTATTAAAAAATTTCATTCAATTTACGTATAAATTGCAAAATTTCAGTATTCATTATTCTATACTTTTATACAAAATCTACTTTACTCGTACTTATGTTTATTCTATTTAAGATCCTATCTCTTCTATTTTAAATATTTATGATGATGATGATGATTATTGGTTAACAATTTACCGCTTTTAAAATAAAATACAAAAAAAATTGTTTTTTTTTTTTTTTTCAATTTAAATATTTGAATATCATTTTTTTTTTGATTTTCCTGTTAAAAGTCCCAAATATAATGAAAGAGGACACTTTTTTAAAAATCCAAATGTCCAAAAACGTTTTGAAAAATGCGCAGAATATTTTATCATAATTTGGATATTTTATTACTTATTAATTTGATTTTAAGTATTGGACAATTTCCAATAAGGTGACCTAATGTACTTGTACTCGTATTTGTATAACAATTCGTGTATATGTAAGAAAATCATTAATTTTATTTGAGTAATATTTCACCGTTACTCGTATTAATGAATTTAGTTCACATTTTGATAAGCTTTAATTTATTTTTTTCGGAAATTATTTACTCCAGTATCGACGCCGAATTTACCATATATGAAAAGTAAGCGTACTCGCAATGAGCGTCGAAAAACAAGACCGGTACAATGTGCAATCTTTATTGCATACTGTTCATTGCTTGTTTTGTAAGGGGCTGAGGCAATTTTTATAAAACGTCTAAGACACAAGTCAGCCTATTTAACCCAACGTTATCCCAACATTTAACATTTTTATTTCATAAATTTTGTTAACTAATTTCAGTTTTTTGCCCCAATAATTAAAACTAGGTCGAATTTCATTTTTAAATAGGCATTTTTCGTAGTAAATTTATAAAATTTATATTGTACCGTTTTTCGGTTTATAAATAATGTCAACCTCAATTTTTTGTTTTCTTTTTTTGTCAATTTTTAAATACTGAGCTACTCATATTTCTAATTGTTGCATATGTTTATATTTATGTATACTTGTTAAATATTGTGTTTGCATAAATAAACAATGATAATTTAAAAAAAATTAATTTACATACATATATACATGCCTTTGTGAAATTTAACTCCAAATTGGGGCTGCACCTCAATATTTCAGTTTTTTATACTTTTCTAATAATTTTGATTTATTTTACAATGTAAGTATATGTGCATACTTATATTTCTTGACATATATATGTACATAAGTAGTTCTTGATTTAACAATGCTTTTCTAAATTTTTTTTGCTGTATAGTCAAAATTGCAATAATGATTTAGTGAGCTTTTTTTTCTCATATTATTTGAAGAATGTGAGACTTTTTTTTTTATGTCAGCAAATTTAACATTTTCGTTATTTATCTTTTAACTATGTACATATGTACATACATACATTGTAATATTATGTTTGTAGATATTTTACAATTAGTTATGTATATTTATAGGTATGTATGTATGTATAGGAAATGAGGAATATAGATGAGAAATTTTAAATATTTGTTTGTTATGAATAATATTATTTTCGAAGAAAAAATTAAATTCCTACTTATAATCAGAAACTATAGTTGATCCCGCAACATTCAGATATAATTATACTGTTTTATCATACGGTATATTTTTGTGTTTACGTAAATATTACATTTGTCATAATTTAAATAAAATATACATATTTGTATGCATTTTAATATTAGTTTCGCATTGTTTTTAAAATTTATAGTGCAAATGCAACTTTTTAGCACTTTTTCAAAAAAATTTTGAAAAAAAGTGCTTATTAGTTTCACTCTGTCCGTCCGTCCGTCCGTCCGTCCGTGTATCCGTGTGTCTGTTTACAAAATTTCTACACCCTTGAAGATAGAAAGCTGAAATTTTGTACGTACATAGATGTTTAAAAGAAACTTATTTCTGTAGAACAAAATTTTTACCTATTTCCCCTCCTCTAATAGTTATACCCCTCCAAAACCCTAAAAATGACCTTTTTTAACTATTTGTTGCAATGAAACCATAAGCATTTTTGAAATTTTGCAAACGCATAAAGGCAGCAGCTTGCTTCCCCTATCGAGGTATACTATAGTTGAACTTTAGAAAAACAAAATGGCCGTACAAATTTACCGTTATCTAAAGTCTTTTTTTTTCAAATTTTTGATGTCGTTTTTCTTCTAGACCCCAGCCTATAGAAGCTTGAAATTTTAAGGGCTTTTAGACATTAACAAATAGTTTATTTCCTTAGAATAAAATTTATTTCCATCTCCAACCCCTCTCAAGTTATCGTCTCTTGAAATTTGTAAAATTTGAATTTTTGACACCTTATATTTCCGAAACCGCAAGCTTTTTCAAACTTCTATAAACACAAAAAGCTAACGCTAAATTCCATGACATTAAAAAATATAATTATTTTTCTTAACTCGCACAATTAACTCTTAAAATCGAGCATTATGTTAACCCCTCTTTATATTAATTTTTGCTTTATTTCAAAGACTGCATATATGCATCATCCTAAATATATGCAATCCTAGAAATAGGTTTGTATATGAATGAAAATAATTTTAATAGTGTGGTAGATATACATAGACTGTATTTTAAAGCAGAATTTTTACTTGTTGAAAAGAAAAGTGCTACAATACAAACCGTTGGTTTGACCTAACTTTATTACTTTGATATTTGATTATAGACCTGTACTTTAGTTTTAATCCGATGTTCGGTATTTAAAGAGAAAAAGTTTATGTTGAATTTAAGATTTTCTTATTGGCGAAAAATTTTAATAGTTTTAAATAATTTTCAGTTTTTGCTTGAGATTTAATAATAATTTGGCTTTGTTAAAAGCTCCTTTCTCCGCAATTAATATCGTCTATGCACATAATTGTGTGTTCTCAAATTTCTTCAGTTTTTCCTACTCTACTTACATATATACATATTGTTAAGATGTTAAGGATGATTTTGGGGTCCCGATAGATCTTCTCAAATTGTCAAATTATGAAATTTGTGTATTAGTTCGCCTATTTTTCTACACACATGTGTATGTATTGTTCATATGTGATAATTTTCCTGAATTCTATAAAGTTTGGTTGCAATAAAAGAATTTCACAAAATTTCAAACTCAGTTATTATATAATTTCAACAAAAATTGTAATAAAATAAATTTTTCTATTATATAAAAATTATTCAAAGAAAATAAGTTTTGATTATAAACGTAAATTCTTGTTTATTATAAAATTTTATTATATACATTTGAATAATTTTTGTTTGCATAGTCTTTCTATATTTGTTAGTATGTATGTATGGGAGACGGAAATAAATGAAAATTAATCACGTTTGACATACACGAGTAAATTACGGAGTTCTTCTTCTTGATGACTAATTGTTTATATTAATCTAAAACGTGTTTAACTCAAACAACACTATGAAAATATTATTTTATATATATACATACATAATATACATAGTTTGAAATATATATAAATGGTAAATGGAACTAGTTATAGATTTGTATTCATGTAAATAAATTTGTATATAAAAAAAATATTTCTGAATTCATTTTTTGTTAATGTAAACATGGATGTGTCATATTCCAATGAAATTTATAAAAATATACTATACATACATAGAAACATTTGTATGAATGTTAAACACATCTACATACATTGAGGATAAGAATGTTATAAATTATAATTTGAAATGCTATTTAATATTTTTGGTTAATTGAATTTTAATTTTAATTAAAGAAAAAAATTATTCAAAATTTATTAATAGTTTCACAATGATTTCTGAACTAATTAAAAAAAAAATTGTTGATTTTTTTTCAAATTTTTTTTTTATCTGGAAAATTTTTCATTAATGAAAATTAGAAATGTAATGGTGCAGAAATTATGTAAGTGTTTAAATGTATTTGAGTTTAAGTAGCAGATAATGTAGGTGTACTTTTTTACATACCTAGTACTTTTGTACATTATTGTTGACATTCAATAATATTTTATGAAAGTAAAAATTAATTAATTTTTTACAAAATCTCATATTTGTTTTATTAATGAAGGGATGTATGAGTCAAGTGGCAACAATTTATTTGAACTAAAGTATTTTTGTGTATTTAAGAATATTTCTTGCATAATTAAGTAAAATTTTCATTTTAAATTAATTCAGTCATTGAGAGTTATCTTATATATATTACAAATACATAAGATTTATAAATAATAACCGGTTATCAAAGCAAACATTCTGAACCTCTTAAATGATTTAGGATATGATTTTTCTTAGAATTCGGCCATTTAACATAATATACACATAAATATTTTTGCATAATTATATTTTTTACTTTATATGCCGAAATATGCCGAAAACGAGTTGATGAAAATTAAAATAACTCCTATGAATCCTTATGGAAATATTTCTTAGTTTTATAAAACTTTAATGATTGGTTCATGTGATGTCCATACAATTTCTAAATTTCAGATACATGTTTGCATAAGTATATATGTATATGTATGTTTGACAAATTATTGTATATACATATAAGTACAGACACACTTTTTTAATTTTATGCAATATTCCTATATTCGTTTAGGCTAACAAATTCTCTGGATAATGAAAGTCTGTAACACGTGTTTTAAATTTATGCCTATTTTTTAATTTATCTAAATTTCATGAAAATCTTAATTCCGATAAGTCTTGAGAAAATTTTGTGAATTCTTTTGGAAGTACTATATTGAGCAAAAATAAATCTTAATTCCATGAAAGTTGAAAAAATTTTGTTTGAAAAATTTTTTGTATCTATTTATGCTCTCAGTTGAATTAAAATTCATAACATCTTTTTTGCACTTTATATAAACATAAGTAAATAAATTTAAGAAATTTATTTACCGTAAAGAAATTTGGTATA